TGCAGAGGTGAATTTCATGGCTGACGTGCGGAGGAGATTGCCTCTGCTGGTACTCGCTGTCGTCGTCTTCCTGATTGTCGTCTTCCTCTACGTGTGTTTTTCGTGGCGGCCGTGGAAACAACAACGCAAGAGGAGGGCTTCGACGAGACGGGCGGCAGGCGAACGTCTAATGGCGGGCATGCAGGCACGACCGGCTGCTGCCGCAGGTCAGGGAGGAGTTCGATCTTCTGCGGCGGAACCTCGAAGGCGGTACGACCCGTCCATGTACACCCATCTGGAGTCGTGGGACACGCCATTGCCCCCGTCGCACGAGGAGCCGGAGAAGGAAGAACTTTCGACGTTGCCTCTCGCTAGCGGCTCGACTCAGTTGTGGTCGCAGACGGTGCGAGCAGGCGGGTCGGCTCCCGACGAAGGGGGCAAGTTCACGTCATTGCTCCATTAAGGCTTGCGGAGATCGTTCGGCACATGGCGTTGAGCATGGTGGAAGTCTGCATACGGAGCAGTCCACACTTCGTCGCACTGCACCCGTGACTGGCGCGGTCGGGCCATCGCCAGCGGGACGGCAGCATGGATCGACTGCTCCGTCCGTCGATCGATTGACACCGACCTGGCCCGCACCCCTCGGGGTGGCAGCAGAGCCCCTGCGCATGGGCGGTGCATGTTCGATGATGCCTGCGTGCACAACACCGGTCGAATCCGGAGTGAGGGACGAGGGAACGTGCAGAGCGCCGGTACGTCCACGACCCACTGTGGAGAACATAACACGTGGAGTGTCGAACATGCGGGCACACAGCGATGGAGGCGAAGACGACATTGGCTTCGGTGACGACGCAGACGAAGGGATGAGGGAAGATGTGGAAGCGGGGGACGACGACGACGACGTTCCAATTCTGCCTTTGGGGAAGACGACTGGGAGGGGGAAAGGACGCGGCAGAGGTGGTGTCCGTGGTTGATCCGTTGGCCATGGAGGCAGAGGTGGCGTAAGTGACGACGCCGGGAAGTCTCCGACGTACTGGTCTGCAGAAGACCAAATGCTCCTGGTGCGATGCAAGCGGGAGCAAGATATGCACCTCGCCGGCTTGTCTCACAATTACGGGCGGATGAAGACGAAAGAGTGGAAGTGGGAGGACATGTCGAAGCGGATGGCGAATGAGGGGAGGCCGAAGGACGCTGACGACTGCATGAAGAAGTGGGACAATCTGTTCCAGAACTACAAGAAAATTCAGAGGTTTCAAAATGCCAGCGGGCGGCCAGATTTTTTCAGGCTGACGAACAAAGAGAGGAAGGAGCACAACTTCAAGTTCCGGATGGACAGGGCGCTGTACAACGAGATCCACGCAGGCATGGTGGGGAACCGCACGATTTTCCCTCCCAACGTTGCCGACACCGGCAGTCCGGTTGGGGTGCAGCTGCCCAGGCGAGGAGCGGGTGGCGGGGAATCTGTTTGTAGTGAGGAGGCCGGTGAAGGCTGCCCTGACGAGCGTCCTTCTGCGAGGGAGTCCGACAGCAACGTAGGCAGCGGGGCGGGAGGCGGGAAGCGGAAGAACGTGCGTCAGCAGGCATTCGAGTTCATCTCTGATGTCATGGAACGCCATAGCGCACTGATGTCGTCGACGATCGAATCGTCTAGCAAGCGGCAATGCAGCATCTTCACGAGGCAATGCGACATATTGGAGCAGGAAGTTGCCGTCCAAAAAGCGCAATATGCGGCATCCGATGAGACGCAGAGGATAATGTGCCAAGCATTGTTGGAGATCGCTGCCGCCATCCGTGGTCGGTCGACCATGTAGGCCATTATGTGCTGTGTTGATCAAAGTTGGTTCTTTGCCGTCGTCATGGAGTTCTTTTTTTTTTTCGGTTGTGAATTTCATGATGTTGCCATTGGCGATGCTCGTGGACGGCTGCCGCGGAAGCAATGCCAAGTAGTTGACGGACAATCGGGGGCGGCGAGAGGGGGGAGGTG